ATAGATTTGGGACCAAATCCTCAGAACTATCAACCTTTCACGTCGAGGTCGAAGGCAACGTCGAGGATGGCTTAGAGTATTCGAATCTCGTGAATGAGTTATTGTTACTGATTTGGGAGGGTATTAAGGATGTGTTTAGGCTAACGCTTAGAACATTGGAATTGAGAATTCCGGGTGTTATGATAAGAATTATGATGGTTACTGAGGGTAATTGTTGATGATCTGAAACGGGGAAAACAACCTCTATTTATAAGGAAAAAAAGAGAGTCTGGACGATTCAGAAAAGATCAGAATTTGGAACGGAATAGAACTCTTTTTGACGCGGGGCGACAAAATTGTCGCGACGCGCCAGTCTCCATCGCGGCGCAATGAAGCTGACGTGTTGCGTTGGTTTTGTCGTTCTGCGATGATTTCTGAAGATAATAAAGCCGCACGAGGTTTGATTTCTAATAGAATTAGATTTGTGAAATATATCCGGACGTCTTTAAATTTAACAGGATAAGGACTATCATATGAGAAATTTTATTCGGCTTCGAACTCTTTTGAACTTTATCTTTTCGGAAAGGATAGATTAGAACCTTCTAGAGACTTCTAGAAGTTCCTCAAGAATCCTAATTAATTTAGGATTAAAAATAATATATTTAGACCCTCATATGATCATTGGGTAGTAGGTAAGGTGGGTCCAGGCTTAGTTTGGGCTCAATTTAGTATTTTGGCCATAACTTATTCGTTTTAAGTCGGATTTGGGCTTATAATGTATCGTTTGAAATCTCTTTTCAAACCCCATCCAACTAAACTTTAATTGGACTGGGAACATGGACCAAAATAATTTAGTTTGGACGTTTTTATGAGTTGGACACGAAATGAATGACTTTAAAGACACGAAATGAATGATTTTGGGTTTAAAGGCACGAAATGAATAGTTTTAGGCTTAAGGAGACGAAATGAATGATTTTGGATTAAATCTTTTTATGTAGATTTAGAAATACGGTCAAGGTCTAAGGGAATTTCGTGAGATTCTTAAACTCTTAGCCGAACTCGTAAATTCAAACGTGAAAGGTACTCATCATTGGGTTTGGTTTTTTGGAGACACAATAAGGTGTCTACACTAGCACTCCACTATGTACCTCTCATTCTTATTGATTTAAATGTCTACAAACATCACTTATTCCATGAATTTGCCTTTTAAATGTTATAATAATGGATAACAAAAACACCATATGCTTTGCTTGTTAGCATTTCACAAACCTCATAGGTAAGCCTGGATGCATATGGTAACTTTGAGTAAAAATCAACCTATCTCATTGCTGCTAATCAAATACAAAGGGATAAGCAAATCATTACTTCAGACTTACATCCAAACTTGACATTTCATGTCGGTATTATTCAACAAATAATCCTAAAACAATACATTATAAGTACTTAATAAGTTGCCATGCAAAAGGATTCTCACATAAAGAATTAATCTATGAGAGACAAAAAGGTATACTACCATTATAACTAAACATCATTGCTTAACAAAATAAGAGCACCATAAATAATTTAAATAATACACCTTTTATTCAGCATCAAACTTTTTACAACCACTACACTATGCAGGACCTTTATTCCTAATTAAACCTTAATGATGTTCAATCGACAACTTGACCTAAACACACAATACAATTTAAGATCGATGAAATTCTATTTCTAAAACAATAGGATCATGGCTCTGTTAAAATACAACACCAACTTTGCCAGCTTCTAAATCCCCATCTGAAAACACTTGTGAAATTCCATTCATTATTCTGCTGTAAACATTACCATTGACCCTAGACCAAATCTCAACAACAACATCCCATGTTGTAGCACCATATCAAACCTGAATTTGTGTATTCATATTAACATCAGAAAAGACCTGATTACCAAAAGTTACTAGCCTGGAACATCCTGTAGATTTTTAAGGAAAATCAATAAACACTAATACAATTTTAAGTATATACTTTTCATGAATTAAGCACAGCAAAGAAGCCACAAACCAAGTAATCTCTTTCAAAGCATGCTAGTGTAATCACCCAAAGGAAACAAAGGCCTATTCCCAGTACCAAAGTATTCTCTAAAATCAAAATTAGATGTATCAATTTCACCACTCGATACACTACTTTGCGTAGGTTCAAGTGAACTTAGCCTTTCAACAATCGATTCTGAAATTTCCTTACATAGTATATTCGATTCCCACCATAGTAAACCATAATTACTTCACCATTACGTAACTGATTATCGTTCACATACAATTTCCACCCAAAATCAAGGCACATGTACTCTCTTGTTCCCTTTGTAACTTTGAGCAGCTGAACATTCTACACTTGACTATTACTCCCTCACAGGACCTGCACTAGACTAAACACACTAGCCAACATAGATGTCCAGCTTTGCGGAAACTCCTACGAATTATATTAACAACATTAGCAGTGCAGAATAAGGAAAAAAAGCTATATATTAACTTTAAAAAAACTTACATACCAACTCATGCCTACATTCGTCTCCAAAAAACACGAGATGGCTTGGTAAATTTCTATACATACTCATAATTCTTACCAAGGAACTACTTAGTGCATGATTTTACAAAAAAGCTCAAAGCAGAGCCATAACACATACACATGTGCTAAGCAAAATGCACTTTCCAAATTTACACATTGGAATTTATTCTACATTCAAAGTGCTAGCCACACAAAATCCAAATACTTATAATATAGTCCAATACCAATCAATTATACATTCAGAATATTCAGTTATATACAAGTCCACCAAATAATAATTATATGCAATACAAATAAATTAGCACATCATGCCAACATCTCATAAAGTAGCATAAAAAAATAAGAAGCAAATATAAATACCTTGTCAGAACACCTTTTTTTTTTTTTTTTTTTTTTTTTTTGCCTCAATACAAATTAAGAAGCACACTATTATGAAGCCATGCATAATCCTGTTTATATAGAAAATTCCCCAATACATTACTTGTAGAATGAAATTCAATGACACTAACTACAATTTTAAGACCTTATTAAGCATAACAATAATTGCAGGATTAAGTAGTCAAAATTTCAGATTGACTGAAACTTACATGCCTTAAATTAAAATAAATAACGCCTTAGCTATACATGTAACCTGTTAATAATCAGAGCCTAACAAACATAAAAGCAGTCCTCTACATTTATATCAATAGTATATGCAATTGACTCACATAATTATGAATTATGAATAATACTATCCACCTAATTATTGGGAAATGCCTTTGAAATGTCCTCTGATTATTAGACAGTTTAAAGGATTTCAATTTTTCTTTTGTTTTGGTTTAAGTTTGTAATTCCAATTTTCATGTGCTTATCTGTCCATATGTTTGTTTTTCCATTTTAATTTCCTTGTATTAAATTCTTTTCATACAACATAGTATTATATGTCCATTAGTTTATTTTTCCATTTTAATTTCCTTGTATTAAATTCTTTTCATACAGCATAGTATTAAGTGCTTTTTGGCTGAAAATGTAATCTATCTAAAGATTAAAACACGCACCCTCCAACCATACACCAAAAATAAATAGGATATTAGAACCAAACTCAATATAAACAAAAGCCATTTGTTCAAATAAATCTATTGCTGCTGTAATATTATACTCTACATTTTTCAACTTTCAAATTATTTAGCAAATGTCAATGTATAAATAATAAAATGTACTTAAACTAATGATCAATAAAGCCAATATGAGTGTTTATAGATTACGTATACACCCAAAGCTAAAACCATCGACTCTTTAATCTTATAACTGTTACACTTAGCCTCCCTAATGATCAACTTTACGATTTCTACGCTTCCTAATTAAATTCGCAAAATTGGGGGGGGGGGGGGGAAGATGCCCGCGTTGCGGGCGCTCCCACAACTAGTTTAAAAAATATTTCAAATAATTCATGAAAATGTCAATTTTACCGTTAAGATTAACTATTTTGTTAAAAAAAATACATAATTTGGCAATCACAAAGATTAAACTTGAATTTATTCAAAAAAGGAAAAATTGGCCGCAACAGCACCAACTATTACAAAGGTGCGTGTAGTTGCGCAACCTTTCGAGGGTGCGTTCTGCATCACAAACTATGCACTTGGATGCACATAACAACATAAATGATATCAAAAAACTGATATTTCACCGGAAAACTAAATTTTGCCCGAAAAACTGGACTTTTTAACTTTTTTTTAGATTTTTTTTTTATCCTAAAGTGAATGATTTATTAAACTCCTCTACCACTCCATTTAATTTTCTTCCTATATCTTCCTATCACTCTCTTCGTCAACATTGAGGAAAAAGTCCATTGGGAGTAGAAGATATATTAAGGTACGCAATTCTCATGCCCCAAAATTAATGTAATTGAGTTTTGTCTTATTGTGGGTAATTGAGAAGGAAGATTTTATTTTTAGGTTGATAATTGCAAAATTTTTTAATGGATAGATACGGAAGAATAGTTGACACGTGCAATTGAGGTGATGAATGGTTTGGTCTCTGAGAAGGAATTATTAGAAGGTGGAATAGAAATCAGATATGGCAAAACAAATTTTTCAACTTATGTTGAAGAGTGAAAAGTAATTAAATCGGAAAGCAACCTTATATTTGTACGTAGTGTTGAAGAGTGAAAAATAATTAAATCGGAAAGCAACCTTATGTTTGTACGTAGTATTTTTAGGGGCTTGGTATCACAAAGTAACTTTTATATCCTAAAATTCGGTGAAGGATTACTATTCGTCGTCCTTAAACCCACAATTATTAAAGAAGACCTCTGCGAACTTTAAAAAGGAATCACAATAATGGTGGAAGTCGAGAGTGATACAAATATATAGGGAGAAAATTTAATGGAGTGATAAAGTAATAAATCAATCACATGGGAAATAAAAAAAATTAATATATTAAATTGTCAATTTTCGGCGAAATTTCAGTTTTCAGGCGAAATTTCAATTACTGGTATCATTTATGTTGTTATATGTAACCAAGTGCATAGTTTGTGATGTAGAATGCACCAAAGGTTGTGCTGCTACGTGAACCTCTATAATAATTTATGTTGTTGCGGCCAAGTTTTCCTAGAAAAAAAAAAAACGAAAAACAAAGATTAACTTGAATTTCCTCATAATTTTCCTTCCTAAAGCAAATAGAAATTGAGAAAAAATAGACAAGACAAGGAAAAAAAATAACAGTAATAATGAAGAAAATTTCATAATTTTCATTTTCATTACCAGAAAACAAGTGAGAGAGCCAAAGTGAGCTGTAACTGTAATATGTTCAATTGTTCTCCACCTTCTTAGATCATCCATCACAATTCTCACTCCCTCCCAATTTTCTCTCTCCTCTTTTGTCCTCAGATTTCTTAAACCCTAATTTAACCCCCAAAATTTCCCAGATTTGCGTCTAATCTCAAGCAATTGATCATCATCGTCGTGCTATCCGTCCCTAAATTCGTAGCTATTTTGAGGATTTACATTATTTGTCAATGCAATGGTGGTCTGTAAATGCCGCAAAGTGAGTCCTTTTTTATGCTCTTCGGTTCTAGATTCGTCAATTTATCCTAATTTTATAGTTTTTGATTTGATGGCATGCTTAATTTTTAGCTCTTATTATAGGATTAAGCTGTAGAATTGGATGATCTTGCTGTTTTAGACTGATCGAGGGATCTCTGAATTTATTCGCAAAATTGGGATATATTTGTTGTCAGTTTGTCTTAATTTAAGAGGTTTTAGGACGAAATTCTAACTTTGATTGGGATCAATCATTGGTATATGAATGTTGGGATGAAAAACCATGGTTTATCAATGAATTTGATATGTTTTTCCTGAACTTAGTGTGGAAATTATTAATTAGTATGTGGCTTATCGGGGCTGCATGATATATAGCTTAGAATTTGATTCGAGGAGCGACGGAATGCTTGTTGTTTGTTCCGTTAGTCTTTATTTGCTTTTTTGAATTGATGATTATTACGTGTGAAATTAAGAGTAGTGCTTACTTATGTTTTTTGTGGGTTTCAGGCAACTAAATTATACTGTTTCGTGCACAAGGTTCCTGTTTGCGGAGAATGCATATGCTTCCCTGAACACCAAATTTGTGTGGTAATTATTTCACATTTATGCCTTATGCCATGTACATTGTTATGTTTTGAATTTTCTATGTATCTCTTCTATTTAAATACTGTTTACTGATAGTCTAATACTATATCATCTTTTTCTATGAGTTCTGTCCTAACCTTGCATGAAAATTGTGCATAGTCTTGTAATGTCTCAAATTGTTGAGGATAACATTGAATTTTATTGCTTTGAAAAGATTTCTCACTGTAGACTGTCCAGCATATTAGAGGTAAGTAAACATAGAATGTATGGAGTTGGCCTACCAAAATTGTGATTTTCTTTGAGAAATCTCTCGATTAAACTTTCCCTCTTGGGTCCATTGATCATCATCAATTCATCATCAAGAAGGTATTGTGTGGTATGATGCAGACAGAGACTGAGCTTCTGTCAATTGTGCCTCACTTGTGATTGTTGTAAGATACGGTTTTAACTCTTAATCCAAAATCAAACAGGGTTCAAAATCATATGTAGATTGTGTCTGTTCCAAAACCTCCTTTGGAATATTCATATTTCAAGCTAACTCTATTAATATTGTGATTGGTGTCATACTACACTTTCCTGACTTGGGCCTTGACAAAATCCCTTCATGAAAGCTGCAGTTATACTTATAGGCAGGGGAGATATATTTTATATAATATGACCATGGATAAGAGTGGGAATGCACTTTTACATCTGCACTCTTTATTAATTCCTTATTGCGATAGGGAAACTATTAGTTGATTGTTTCATAAACATTCACTCCCTAAATAATTGCATCAATTTGATTGGCACGCTTGCCAATGCTCATCTTTTACCTTTAATATCTTTAATGGTCTATTTAATAAAATATTTAAAACGGTTGAATTTTTAAAAATGTACATCAAGAATTATTTAACAACATTTTTCATAATAACTTTTGTTTTGCAAATATTAGTAATAAAACAACTTAAAGTTCGTATAAAGTAGTGGAAATGTTAAAATGATGCTTTATTAAGTAACGGAGGGAGTACCTCTTATAAATGTGATGATCTAAGGAAACATCTCTTCCCCTCTGTAATATCACTGCTTGCTAAGTTAAATCTGAAGAGATGGGAGCTTATGGAAATCAATCCTTTAGGTTTGTCTTTATCTTGTAAACTAAGTAACTTATTTGAAATCACGCTTCTCATGCATAATAAAAAATTTACTCGCATTACATGCTGTTGTGCACCAAGTTGCAGATCCAGGATTATCTACAAACCAAATACCCTATTGGAAATTGGTTTTTCTGTGCACAAAAACAAACTTGTTTTTCCTAGTCAGTTCTTGTTCAGCACCTTGTGGTGGATCCATCATTCTCATATTGGATATGCACAATTGTAAGAACGGAAATTTAGGCCTGTTTGATCATTTGATATTTTGCTCCAATTTTTTTTTTTTTATTTATTTTTTATTTATTTTCATTTCTTTTCGGTCACCATTCTTTTTTATATTATCAATTTTAATTACTAGTATTAAAGTTCAAAAGAGAATCTTGAATCCCAATATGTTATACTGCTATTATGTTTATACTTTATTGTCAAATTAATTTAGTACTATAACTTTGTATCTTAATTATTTTACCTTTATTTTATTTATTTTGATGAAACCTAATTAAAAGATTCTATTCTGAAATAGCAAGGTTCTATTCTTTCTCGAATTAGTTGGTATAATGAACCAATTGAAGGATGCCGACACTATAACTAAACAAGAGGGGTCAAAGTGGAACACCATTTCGGACTTATGGACATAGATTTAATAAGCAAACAACAATAAGGCAAAATAGAATATATTACATGTAAATATAAGTGCAGGTGGGAGAAGTAGATGGTTGAAGGATGAAAATGAGAATTAAGGTAAAAAACTGAAGAAACAAAGAAGAAAAATAGGAGGAAATAGTAAACATACCTTAGCTTGAACTGACAAAACTCACTAATTAGCACAGGAGATTATTTCCGTTTTCCGTCAGATTATTTATAAAGAATGTCAGTGTATGCACATGCACACTCTTAGGAAATTCTGGAGACTTGTTTCTATGCTCTAAGATGTCAGTGTATGGAATTCAATAACTCTATGGTATGATAATGGTTAAACACATACTGAGTTGAGGTATAGTGCCTGTGACTAACTATACTTGAAAGTCCTAGATCACTGTCACTGTGCTCACTAAATATCTATTCAACGTAAAAGCATCCAGGCTGGATAATGGTACACCACTGAAATGGAGTGTGCTACGAACTGAGATTTCTAGAGAAGAAATTATAGGTTAAAGAGAGATTTAGATTGATACTTCTGGAATTGCAGCAATAAGCAGGATAGAATATCAAGTTTTTAAGTACCTTGATTCACTCCCAACAGCTAATTTCTCTTTCCCTACTCTCCCATATTTATAACATATTCTAGTTCTCATTTTCCTCTAATAGCTGACTATCTTCCTCCTCAAGATACTATTAGCATAACTACTCCACCCCTTAGGCTAAGTCATATTAAATTGAAGATTATCTGTATACAAATTGTAATACAGATGTTACGAGATAATGGAATGAGGTGATTAATCCTCATGAAGATTTACATTAGAAATAGAACCCTCATATCTTGTTTCTTATATATTATTGTGAGTTTGTGACAGATATTAAATTATGATATATATACTGAATTAAAAGTTTATTTTATTTTATTTTATTTTTTTTGGTGTGTCCATGGAAGTATTATCCTTCTAGATTCAAATACTTCCTCCATTTCACGATAGTGCATCATATTTACTTTTTACACCCTCATACTCTGACCATTTTTTATTACTAATATGTAACAATAAATATCATTATATTGAAAATGATGCAACTATTGTGAGATGGAGGAAGTATATGATTATTTATTTTGGCAATTGCTACAGTAATTTTTCCAATTATTTGTGTTGTTTGACGTAGAGTCAGAACTGTTGTGTCCTCACTTTAGTGTTTGGTCAGTGTTGTAATAAAGGAAAGTCATTGTGGACTGGTGGTAAGTGGTGATATTTTTATTAACAATATGAATTTTATGCATCTTTAATTGCTAGAAAATCTGATCAATGTATTGTAATTCTTAAGCAAACTTACTTGCTGTAGAGACTGTTTGTACTCAATATCAAAAGTGTATTTTTTACATTGTAATATATTATGACTTGAATTTAGCCATTCTTGCTTTCTTATAGATAATTAATTTGAAGACTTAGGTACTGTGTTGAGACTGTTGACTTATTTATGCATGCCCTCTTTATGTAGGTCCGCACCTACTCAGAGTGGGTAATAGATGGAGAGTATGATTGGCCTCCTAATTGCTGTAAATGCAGTGCTGTGCTCGAGGAAGGAACAGATCCTCAAACTACTCGCCTTGGCTGCTTGCGTATGTTGTTATTGAGATAATCATTTGTAATTTGATTATGCATTCTAATTAGATGTTAATATGATTTGTATGATCTTTTTTCAGATGTTATACACACAAAGTGCTTGATTTCACACTTAAAAAGTTTTCCTCCGCACACTGCACCAGCTGGATATGTCTGCCCTGCATGTTCAACTTCAGTGAGTCCTGTTTGTTAGATTTTTTTTAATGCACATATCTTCATTTTCTATTCACCGCGTTCTTTGTTATGATTGTTGGATAGATAATAATCAAGTAAGGTAGTGATATTTTCATCAAATATGTAACTTGTTGGATAAAAAGTTATGTTGTATTTGTGGATGTACTCTAAACTTGAGTCAATAATTGCTTAAATGTGGTAACATAAAAGAAAAATATTCCTCCTTTCTCTTTTATTTGCAACATGAGGGGATGCACAATTTATGAAGAGAGGAGAGATGATAAAAGGGACCCATATTATAAGGATAGAGGTAGAAAGAACCATAATTTATTTAAAGTGTTGTTGGAATTTTTGTAGTATCCTTAGTAGGATTATGATGCAATAAAAAAGAACAGAGGAAGTATATATTTTAAAATGCAAGTTTCAAAAGAGCTAAGAGAGAATTATATAAGAAATAAGCCCCTCTTATTGATTCATCTAATGGGAATTTGTAAGGTCCACACCCGAAGCGATCCAACATGGATACAAGAATGTTGACCCTTGGGGAAGAGCACTGTTCCCTAAAGAGAAATAACTTTATATTTAGTCTTGAATTTCAGGCTCCACTATTTTCTTTTGTATCCATGATTAATAATGTGGTTTCCATCTCGGGTGCTCTTTCTTATAGTTGTTTGAAATGTAGTCCGCGTAGGATTCATTTGAAACCAAAATACTTTCCCAAAAAGCTGGGCTTGGTGTCAAAGAATGATGATAAATGATATATCTCTTAAATTGTCTTCACTGGCATCTTTGATTATGTGGAGCAATTTCTTTCTTATGAGGTCTCCCCTATCAAGGTCACATGCTCATTACAGCATTTTATTGATCTTTTTATTTTTATTTTTTATATATCCTTTCTTGTTTCCCATACTCCATGTGCCTATAAAAGTTCTTATTTTGACTTTTCGTGAAACGATCATCATTCAAACAAGAAGAGCGTTTAGAGACGGTGGGAGTACATTTTTACCGTAGAAGGTTGTGATTCTTGTGAAGGTGTACTGAAGTTATACTAGATTAAGATTTTGGGTAGGGAACCTATTGTTGCCTAAAGTTCCTTGCTTTTGCTTTGTTAAATAGCTTTGGGAGGCTACTTTTTGTTTCACATTCAATAAATATGTCCTTATAATTGCTTGTTTTGTTGATTGTTTGATACTAATCTACTCTGTTTAATTACCATCTAACTTCCAAATGAGTTGATAGCAGTTGCTTTTACTTAATATTTAAGTAATCATATGAATTCAAATTTTAGAATATTGTAATGGGTGGAACTAGACCTCCCCAGGTGGTAATTTTGTGAATTTGACCATGGTTGATTAAATGTAATGCCCTCCTGTCTTGTTGTATTGCTGTAAATTTATGGGTGGTTCCGAAGTAACATAGGTATCATATAACCTTATTATTAAAAGGGGGAGAGGGAGGGGGGGGGGACTTTACTATTTTTTTTATTTTTTCTTACATTCTGATTTTGCCATCTTTATAATAATTGTTATTGTGGGTGGGTCCAATGTAACATAGATATTGTTAACCGTTTTTAGTAATTGGTAACTGCTGAGGTTTTTTTTTTTTTTTTTTTTTTTTTTTTTTTTTTTTTTTCCAGAACATTCTGACTTCTTTATTTTTTAGTATCATTCTTGTTTTTAATTTATAACATTTAACATTATTTTGTGGGTATAGATATGGCCTCCAAAAAATTTCAAGGACTCTGGATCACACCTTCATTCAAAGCTTAAGGAGGCAATTATGCAAGTAAGGCTTTTGATGTTTGCATGTCAACTACTTTACTCCCTTATCCCTCTGATACAGAAAAAATTAACACGTAAAGTGCTTTCTCCCTACCATACCTTCACCCCTTTTGTAATTTATATGAAAATGTAATAATTTTGGTTGTTTCTACCTATGTTACTCGAACTTGGGTACCCATGTCTGACACAGATTTGTGTCCAAGTGTTTGACTCAGCTATTTTGTGAAAATTTTCCATGATTTTGAACTAAAATGAATTGTCGAAGTGTCCTACCCACGTCCGAGTGTCCGACATGGGTACTTGAGGTGAAATGAAGAGTCCGAGTAACAATCGACATTTGCTGAATGAGCTATTTGTAGTTATCAAATAAAGTACTTTCTCCATTCTCTGCCTTATTTCCTTATTATCATCATAATATTAATGTATCTTTTTCAATGAAACCCTTGGAATGTTTTCATTGTTTAACCTAAGAACACTTTAAATCTGAAGTCTCTTGATCTCCTGGGATTCTTTATTCTAAGCTGATTGTCAAATTGCAGACTGGTCTTGAGAAAAATGTTTTTGGAAGCCATCCTGTCTCGATGACAACACCAGACCGTGGCCCTCCCCCTGCCTTTTCTTCAGATCCCTTGAAACGTGTATCTGGTGCTGGAGGCATCGAAGGAATAAAAAATGAATCAACAATTGGGGTCGGAATAGGATCATCTAATGCTACTACACAAGACATAGTAGAGATAGATGGTTCTAGTCATGAGCCTAATTATGTAAAAGCTGGAAGTCCTGCAAGTGTAAGACTTCTATACGAAGGTTTTAATGTTTATATATTGTATTGGCCTTGAAATCAACTTGATTTGATCCTCTTGTTCATTCAATATATGATCTCTTTGCTTTTCATAATTATTCTATTAGATACTTTAGTGTCTAAACTTGATGTTTATGTAGGCTGGGGCTAGTACAAGGAAAGGTACTATCCATGTTGAAAGGCAAAACTCTGAAATTTCATATTTTGCTGATGATGAGGATGGAAACAAGAAGAAATACTCTCGAAGAGGTGAGGAAGCTTTGCAACCAATGTATTTCTTGGTCAAAATTAGTGCTTGTTTGGTTGACAACAACAAATTGGGGGGGGGATTCATGGGAATTAATAGATTAGATAGTTGTTTGGTTGACACAAAAAAGTAAAATGGAGGAAGTAAAATTCATGGGAATTTACACTTCCCATAAAATATGGAAAATAAATTACTAAGCAGCCCTTGTTCAAATTCACTTGTTGTTAACCAAACAAATAAGTTAAGTAAATTTCTAGGTAAATCAATGTTAGAATTACTTTCATAATACCCACTCTTTTTATTATGGAGTAGTTTTCATGTATAGGTAAAAGAAAAAAAAACCCATATAATTTAATATTTTCCACTACCTCTTAGTTAATTATTTATTTATTTTAACTTCCCTTCACTAATCAATCACGTGTGGGAAAATTTAGTTTTAGAAACTTTAGTGCATAATATGATAATAGTACAAACTTGGGCTATTTTAAAGTGCAAAATTGACATTTTATCCAGTAATCGAAGGAGGGGGAGTATTACTTCTTTTAAAATATTTATAAAAATTTAAAATTTTGAAGTGAAAGTAATAATTAAGGCTTGACTTTAGAAAATTATGGCAACACCTTTGGTATAAACCCGGGTGCACGTAGAGGTAGGTGCACCCAAGGGTAGTTTTTTTGCTCATTTGATATCCTTTTGCTCATTTTAGATTTTAAAATGAGCAAAGAATGAGCAGAAAAAACCCTAGGGTGCACCTTGCACCCAAGTGTATATAATTTTTTTTTTTTTTTTTCTAAAATATGGGGGGCATAATGAAACTGGATTAAGAGTAACTGTTAAGAAATCATGTGATTTCTGTTATGACAATTTGGGTTGCAAAAGGTTAAGGAAATTCCAAGCTAGCATAGAACATGCCTTCTGAAAGAATTAATCTGTCTTCAAGACTACTTAATTTGCTTTACTATGATTACAATTCACTTGTTCCCTCAGCTTCATTGTGATAATCACAGCTAAAAAAAGAACCTGAATTTTGGTTGCATATTTGTTGATATCTAATTCATTTGTTGTTATTGTTAATTACTTTCTCTGTTTCTAAATGATGGTTACTGAAGATACACATTTTAGGAGGGTAGGAGAGAGTGTAAGAAGTAGAGAATGTGTAAGAAAAGGCTGGAATGAGTGTTGTATGTAGTGTTTGTGTAAGAAAAAGTAAGGAGGAGTGTGTTTCATGTGGGGCCTGTGAGATTAGGTGGAAATAAACATTTGCAAAATTAGAACTATAAAAATTATCAATTAATTGTTCAACATTTGAAATCTGTACCTTTTAACATTTATGTTCAAAATCTACCTTAAAAATACAAACACTTATTTTTGATAGACTCCTTACTATTTACCGTCAACGGGGCCCACTTCTTTGCTTTTATCATTTTTTTTTCAACTTGAAATGTCATGCTTGGCCTTAAGTTTGATTTATGAACCCGTTTTGCAAACTGAATTCTTCTTAACATGAGTTAAGAACCTAAACCACCAATTAAATACCCAAAGTCTGAGGATTGGATATAAACCCAACTTAGTAAACCATAGAATTGCAAATGCACATCAATTTCTCCAGAAATTTCAGAAAAATACATGCTAACCTACTCAATTTCAACTTTTCAAGTACACCTCATAGCTTAGTCTTCAACGAGGCAAAATTTTCAGTGATTTTGATATTTGAATTCAAATTAATGGGGATAAGGAGACTTAGAAGGTGTTTGGTTGATACGGGGAAGGGAATGGAATCAAGAGAGGGATTGAGACTTTAGAGGGAATGGAAAGCAATTCCCTTTGACATAAGGTATTGTGTGGATTATTCAACCTACCTTCTTTCTTCACCTTTGCTCCACCACACTCTCCCCCATTTTCATAATGTTGTTGTCAACCCCTTTCCGTTTCCACTATCACCACCACAAGTTGCTGCTGCTAAATTCTTCCTCATTGCCTCCACCGCCACCCCTTTTCTCTCCTTTCATTGTTTCACCAACACCATGGCTGAATTTGTGGTTTTAAAGGTCAAATTCGAATGTGAAATTTCGGATCTAGAGGTTTCATGGTCGAATTTGACCATATCAATGATATGTGAAGTTATTTTTCCGTTTTTAATCTTGATTTTTATTTTCTTATTTTAAGGTTGTGGGTTTTTAGGTGGGTGGTGGTGGTTTATAAGTGGGTTGGGTGGGTTTTCAAGGTGGTGGATTATTTCTTCAGTTGGGTGGGCTAGTTTCGGGAGGGTGGGGCTGGTTTTTGGTGGGTGGGAAGGCTGATTTTGGTGGGTGGGGTAAAGTTCAATGGAAGTTTGGGTTTGTAATGGGTAGTGATAGGGTGGCGATTGTTATGCTGGCAAGGTGGCGGTGTTGGGGTAGTGAATCAGTGCAGCCGTGGTGGTTGCAGTTGTGGTGGGTGGTGGTGGTTGTACAGTTGTGATGGGTATGGTGGTGTATCGGTGGTGTGGTGATGTATGGGTGGTCTTGAAGAAAGGGAATAGAAATATCATGGGGGTGTGGGGAATGAGAGGAGTTTGGGGGTAAAGAGAGGGTAAAGATAATGATTAAAATGACATCACAAAAGGAGCTAGCCCTACTCATTCTCTTTCCCTTTGATGATACCCCATGGCCCATACCAACCCCCCCCCCCCCCCCCCTCCCCCTAAAGATAGTGAGAATTCCTAAAAGAACAAAAGGTTAGCTGGGGGAAGTGAAGAAGTGGGGTTCATTAATGGTAGTTGTAACAAATTCAGTCAATGCAGTGCTACTCAAAGATTTTATGTTTTTAAGGCTAATCTTTGTAAAATTTAACAAGGTTGCTATTTCCAATAGCAATGTTTAATAAGCATTTTGGGGAAAAAAAAATATGAAGTAACTTGTGTAACCTACAAAAAAGAATCGATGAAACTAGAAAGGGTGATGATCATAGAATGGAGGGAGTATTATCGTCATAAATATACAACATTATTGAACAGTAGTAAATCAACTCAGTACGATGATTTTCATGAGACGAGCAGATCTTCTATAATGCAAGCCATGCAACTTCTGTTTGTGAAAAGTGGTGTTGGTTAAGCACAGGGTTTTGTATTTATCAACTGATTTGACATTAACTTCAACAGGTCCTTTCCGTCACAAGTTCCTGAGAGCACTGCTGCCCTTTTGGTCCAGTGCTTTGCCCACTTTGCCAGTAACTGCCCCATCTCGTAGGGACTCATTAAATGCTGACGATGGTAAAGAAGGGCGTGTGCGGCATCAGAAATCATCAAGAATGGATCCGAGAAAAATTCTCCTTTTCATAGCCATAATGTAATGTTTACAAATATCTGCTGTGGGCCGTCTCATCCTTTTATCTGCATTTCTATGTTCTCCTTTGTTCTTTATTTTTTTTTTTTAAAGCTTTCTCGGTGGTTGCAGGGCATGCTTGGCAACAATGGGTATCCTCTATTACAGACTCGCTCAAGGTAGCCTAGAGCAAATGCCTAATGATGAACAATAATGATTTGCTGTGTAAGGTATTAATACCATCCTACACTGACAGTCTGAGTCTCTGGCAGTTTGATTCATCTAATTTGTAAACTCATAGCTAGGTGGTTGGTGTTTTTTGTTATCTTTTTTTTGGTTCTTTTAAACGTCACTACATGTTCTCTATATAGAATTTTATTTGTTCTTTTCTTCCATTTTATTGGGGAATTAGGGATGTTTCAACTGTTGTCTGCACTGTTTGCTTGAAGAGCTCCTGTATGCTCTTCTTCAGCAGGATGGGTTAAACTTCACATCTTCCCCTTTGACCCCCTCTTCTATTTTGGGACTTAAAATCTGTAAAATCCTAGGGTTCATCATGCGTTGTTGATTGGACCCCTAGTTTGTTCTTGTCCCAGTTTTGATTTAGCAATTTTTTATTTATTTATTTATTTTTTTATTAAGGAAATCATGAGCCGGGAATATTATTGCAAGTCAAGTTCTGCCAAAGTCGAAATACTTTGGGGGGAAAAAAAATATAATAAGGGAGGTTTTTTTTTTCCTTTAATTTATTATTCATTTTTTGGTTTTTGATTTACCCTCAAATAAAGTGAAGTACTTTATACTTATATACGAAAGGAAATTTTGTTAGGAAAAATCTTTTAAAGCGACCTTTTTGTTCAAAAAAGCCTTTTAAATCATTTTTGGCTAGGAAAAACCTGTTTATAATTTTTTTTTTGTTGAGGACGACCAAGTGCCATTTTTCGACGTGAAGCATGTGCGTGTCATCTGCCTTATTTTTTTCCTATCCACACCCTTTTTCCTAATTCCACTCTATTTTCCTTTCAATTAAACTCTCTCTCTCCTTTATCTCTCTCAATTTGCCATTGTTGGAGTTCAGCCGATTCAAATAAGCTACAAGCAATTGAAGGCTTTCCCAACAAATTCGACCAAAGGTAATTGCTTAATTTATCAATCTCTCATGTTTTCGATAGTTTATAAAAAAATTAGGGTTTTTCTCCCATGATAATCCTGGTAGAAAATTCATTGCCTACAAATTTTAGAGCAATAGAGGAGAGAGAGGGTTTAATTGTAGGGAAAAAAGAGTGGAATTAGGAAAAAGGGGTGTGAATTGAAAAGACACGTGACACACACATGCTAGGTAAATGCCGGAAAAAAATCGAGTCAATGTTAGAAAGTAGCACTTGGTCGTCCTCAACAAAAACAAAAATTATAAACAGGTTTCTCCTAACCAAAAAAATTTAAAAAGGTTTTTTTTGAACAAAAAGGTCGTTTTAAAAGGTTTTTCCCGACAAAATTTCCTATACGAAATATAACATTACTCTATTTTAATATAATATAATGGCAAATTATTAAATTCATACTACTTCCGTTTCGTAATAATTGCAACACTAAGTGTTGCACAAAGTTTTAGGAAATTTATTGTGGGACCAAATGATAAAATTTTATAATATAAAGTACAGTTAGGATTACTAAAAGAAAATACAACAAAGTTGAGATTACTATTTACAATTTTTCTTAATATTACTTAACTCTTGTCAAGTATCAGATTTGTTTAAGCATGGTAACTTTGTTTGTAAATTCTGTATTAATAAAATATATTATCGAGTTGTTCACGAGCTTATCGAGTCGAGTTAGAGTTTGCTCAACTCATACTCGTTAACATCTCGAGTCAAGTCGAATTCGAGTTGAGCCAACTCGAGTCGGGTTTTGACAGAATCAAGTTCGAGTTGCTAATTCAATTAGCACCTCTAATGAAATGACAAGTTGTGGCTCGTGTTTGGACATACATCATGATCAGAATTTGACACGAGTCAGGCATGCATGAGCAGTTGAGCACATACGACAAGCCGGTCTATGTGTCTCCTCGGTGTTTTATTGAAATTATAGACTATGCTTGAGCTTCATTTATCAAAGACAAACATGAGTCCGACACGACCCAACTAAACCTTCTATCCCCATGGGGTCCGAGCGAGCTAACAAACGACAACGTTAGCTTTTCAAACGATGTCGTTTTGTCACTATATCTATTTTTTTGTGTGTGCCAAAGAAAATACATATTACGAATGAGAGTAGGAGGATTTGAAAATGTGTCCGCCTATCATACACATGTCCTTCATCTTAACCACCATTGCTCTGAAAAAATTTCTCCAATTATTGATGTGAAGGGACTGAGTTTTTTCTAATCTAAAAAGTCATTTGTAAACCCAAATTTGGAGTTGAATTTTAACTGGAAATTTGAAGGTAACCCATCAAATGCTGAAAAAAAAATATGAGGTCTCAAGTGGTGAAGAAAGGCAAATGTAAGTTCCCAAACATAAGCTTAACTCTCATTTTCATTCACTACATTTTTATTTACTAAATTCTTAGAATTAACTTACCAATTGTTACAAAATATAATAAATGTGTATGCCAATTATGGCTTGTAACTCCCATAAATAGACTCTTTATAGTCCATATACATTGTAACTCCCACTAGTCCATATACATTAGTCCATATACATTGTAACTCCCACTTGATGACATGAATGGACTTTTTATGGTCCATATAGGTTACATATTCTCATCATGTATATATGTAGGATGGTCTAATGAAATGGGATGATCAACACAATTACTTTCTACATCCTCTCTAATATTCTCCCTTTCCTTTTATTTCATAACACGTTATCAGCACCATTGTTTTAGCTATCGAAAATCGAAAGAAATCATAGTCAAATTATATAACAGAGGAACATAATCATCTATGTAAGGTTTTTATTTTATGATTTTATTTTTTACATAGATTGATTCACGTACCCACAAATTTATTCACGTTATGTACTAGAGTTTTTGAAAAATTGTAAGTTATGCCAGTTTACTTTATGTTATGCTCCCCCTGCTTACTTCATCCCTCCATCATGCAATTAGCTTTCTGGGTCCTATGTTATGACAGTTTACTTTAGGGGCTATGGGCTTGTGCATTTAATTAAATCCCTACTTCAAGAAGTCTTCCTCCCTTTTCCATAGCACTGTACTGATGTCTAATGTATTACACCATTACTAATTTTTTTGTTTTTTTTTTTGTAATATAAGATCATGCATACGTAATATCTTCCCTAATTTTGATATCATATGATATAATGTTAATCGATAAGTAATATAGGTCTCTTTTTGATTATTAAACTCTTACATATTGTTATGTCAGACTTATATTTGAAATTTCCCAACTTAGTAATTTCTATTTGTTGTGAGTGCACTAGTTATTTCTATTTTCTATTATATTTTATCATGATTGCTACTGATATAATTTATCTTGTAATATTATTTTTGTATAGTGAAAAATGTCGAATCTTGCCAAGCTTGAATTTGTGGCCCTTGATATTACCGGAAAGAATTATTTATCATGGGTGTTAGATGCTGAAATACACCTAGATGCTAAAGGGTTTGGTGAAACAATCAAAGAGCCTAATAAGACAACATCTCAAGATAAGGCTAAAGCCATGATATTCCTTCGCCATCATCTACATGAAGGGCTCAAAAATTAATATTTAACTGTGAAAGACCCACAAATTCTTTGGAGTAATCTAAAGGAAAGATATGACCACCAAAAAACAGTAACACTCCACTAAAGCTCGTTATGATTGGTTGAATTTGAGATTGCAAGATTTTAAATCTATTAGTGAATATAACTCAGCTATGTTCAAGATAACTTCCCAATTGAAATTATGTGGAGAAAATATTACCGATTTAGAAATGCTTGAAAAGACATACTCCACTTTTCATGCAAACAATGTTGTCCTGCAGACACAATATAGAGAGAAAGGATTTACCAAATATTCTGAATTAATATCTTGCCTTCTTGTGGCTGAGCAAAATAACGAGCTATTAATGAAAAATCATGAATTACGTCCTGTTGGCTCTACTCCATTCCCTGAAGCGAATGTGACAACCCATCACGGGAAAGAAACTATAAACATAGACCATTCCAGCAGTAGTGGTCGAGGTAGAGGTCGTGGTCGCGGTCGTGGCCAATGGCGCGGTCGTGGTCGTGGGCATGGATATGGTAGAGGTCGTGGAGGTCACTTTAAAAACTCACATTCTCACCAGAAGTGGGAACGTAGGGATGATAAATTTAATAAAGAGAGAAGTGAGACTGATATATGTTACCGTTGTGGAGTGAAAGGACATTGGTCTCGGGTTTGTAGAACTCCAAAGCATCTTGTTGAACTTTACCAAGAATCATTGAAAAAAGGAAAGAAAGTTGAGGCAAACCTTGTTCTTAAAGATGGTAATGAAAAAAAAAGTGATTTTGGCAATACAACTCATCTAGGAGTTGCTGATTTCTTCACTTCCCCGGAAGGGAATAATTTTGATTTTGGCAATACAACTCATCTAGAAGTTGTTGATTCTTCACTACTCCAGAAGGGAATAATTAAAATTATATTTATTTGTATGAATTTTGAGTAATAGACTCAATCTAGTGATTTACTTATGTTATTTTCTATGGTTGTAATAAGGACATATATGCTTTATGAATTTATGAACTGTTTAGGGTAAAAATTACCCATGACAAAAGGACCAATCCGGACCTGCCACGTGTCCACCACGTGGGCCAATCAGCGTCCGCCACTTGTCACCCTAAGAGGTCCAACATGGACTAATCAGGCCACGCCACGTGGCCACCCATATGCCAAATAGGCAAAATGGCCACCAAGGCCCAAAGTCCGAGAGAAGCCCAATTTGCCCTGGTTAACCTAAACCTAGGATTGGCACGCTTCTCAAGACTATAAATACTTAATTAATCCTCATTAAAGGAGATTCAGCAATTAATGACTCTCACCTAGAGAAAACCAAAACACATTGATCACTCCTCACCTAGAGGAACCAGATCTTCCAACCTTTACTTTTCCGCACTATTCACTCCTCAAGCAAGTACTAACTTGATCGTCGGAGGCGGAGCTCCTACCACAAGGAGTCTCCGTTTGTTTTGCAGGTACAGGCGCACGGATCCAGTCTCGAAATTGTAACTCTCCCGCAGGACATTAGAAAACCCCGAAATATTTTGGCGCCGTCTGTGGGGAGAGTACTTTTGGGATGGAACCACAGTCTGTATCGACTCAAAGTGAGAAGCGTTCCACGGACGACCCTCGGGTCTACACTGACCAAGATACTGACAATGAGGTCGAGGTCGAGACTCACACGGCCTCTGACGGGACCCTAAGGGCCCGACGCACCCGTTCTACCGAAAGGAAGGATCGAGAGGCTGGTCCCGGTCGGCCAGCCGACCCACCGCCTGAGACTCAGCAGGCGGCCGAAGGATCTGCTCCTATTACTAGGACAGAACTCATGACTCTCATGAGTACTTTCAAGGGAAAGATCCAAGAGCTTGTCAATAAAAAGGCGACTGCTCCACCAAAGGAACAGTCGGCCAGATCAAACCACTCCTAGTTGAAGTTACATGCGCCTCGCATGAAACTACTGGGTACAACCG